TTTTTTTTTTTCCCCTCCCCTCGTCCTTCCGATGTATTTTTTGCTGTCCCCCCCCGGCATGGCCCCGCTGTGGTGCTTGCTGGGCTCGCTGGTGGCCGCGGTGGCGGGGGGGGGGTCGGTGGAGCAGCCCCCCGCCTCCGAGCCCGCCTGCCCCGTGTGCCTGTGGCGGCGGCAGAGCAAAGAGCTGCGGCTGGAGAGCATCAAGTCGCAGATCCTGAGCAAGCTGCGGCTGAAGGAAGCGCCCAACATCACCCGGGAGGTGGTGAAGCAGCTGCTGCCCAAGGCCCCCCCGCTCCAGCAGCTCCTGGACCTCCACGACTTCCAGGGGGACTCGCTGCAGCACGACGAGTACCTGGAGGAGGACGAGTACCACGCCACCACCGAGACCGTCATCAGCATGGCCCAGGAAAGTCAGTGCCGCCCTTTGTTCCGCTGCAAACTTCGCCGGAGGACTCCCCCCCCCGCCCCCCCCCCCCCCCCCCCCCCCCCCCCCCCGCTCGGGTCCCCTCTGGGTCCCCCGCTGGTCACCGATGTCCCCTGTGGGGAGCCCCATCCTCCGCCGAGCCCCCCCCGGGGGTCTCCGAACCCTCCCCGGGGGTCCCTGAACCCCCCCCGGTCCGTGCGGGTCCCGCGGGGATGTTCCGTGTGCGCGGGGACGGGGGACAAGGGGACACGGAAAGGGACAGGGGGACAGAGAAGGGGACAAGGGGACAGAGAAGGGGACAGAGAAAGGGACAGAGGGACAGAGAAGGGGACAAGGGGACAGAGAAGGGGACAGAGAAAGGGACAGAGGGACAGAGAAAGGGACACAGGGACACAGGGACAAGGGGACAGAAAGACAAGAGGACAGAGGGACAAGGAGACCAGACAGCGCACCCGGGACTGGGAGAGGGGCCCGGTGCTGGGGACCAGGAGCTGGCACTGGGGACAGGGAGGTGGCACTGGGGACAGGGGACTGGGACTGGAGACACAGGACTGGGAGCTGGGACTGGGACTGGAGACACAGGACTGGGAGCTGGGACTGGGAGCTGGGACTCGGGTCCGGGAGCTGGTGCCGAGTGCTGGGAGCCGTTACTGGGAGCTGGCACTGGGGTACTGGGACTGGGGACCAGGAGCTGGCACAGAGTGCTCGGTTTGGGGACCGGGTGCTGACACTGGGGACTGGGAGATGGCACTGGGAGCTGGGACTGGGAACTGGGATTGGGGACTGGAACGTGGCACTGGGAGCTGGGACTGGGGACTGGAACGTGGCACTGGGAGCTGGGACTGGGGACTGGAACGTGGCACTGGGAGCTGGTTCTGAGTGCTGGGACCTGGTACTAGAACATGGTACTGGGAGCTGGGACTGGGAGCTGGGGCTGGCACTGGGGGCTGGCACTGGGGGCTGGCAGTAGCACCCAGCTCGCCCAGCTCCAGCACTGGGACCTGGCCCTGGGTGCTGGGACCAGGGACTGGGAACTGGGAGCTGAGAGGACACTGGGGACTGGGACTGGGAACTGAGATTGGGGTCTGGGAATGGGAAATGGGAGCTGAGAGGACACTGGGAACTGGGAACTGAAACTGGGAACTGGGGAGTGGGACTGGGAGCTGGAACCGTGCCCGGTCCCTGCCTGCTGGGACTGGGGGCACTGGGGATTGTCACCAGGCACTGGCAGCGCTCAGCGGTGCCACTGGGAGCTGGCACTGGGGACACCGGGCAGGTGGCACGGTGACCTGGCGGTGCCCAGGGCGCGTGGCAGGGTGACAGCAGGGTGACAAACAGGGTGACAAACAGGGTGACAAACCAGGGTGACATCAGGGTGACGGCAAGGCCACAGCAGGGTGACAGCAGGGTGACAGCAGGGTGACAGCAGGCCGGGCTGGGGACAGGCCAGCGCAGCCGGGGGTCCCCGCGGGGACAGCGGGGAGGGGACACGGGGACTTGGCCTCGCCTGGCTCCTCCCCGCCCCCCTCCCCTGCCTCAGTTTCCCCCGGGATTTCTCCACCTGCTCCCGGCGCGGGACCCCCGGGGCGACCCCCGGGGGGTGGTGGGGGGTGGGCGAGGGGCCGGGGCCGAAGGGCGAGCGGAAGGGAGGGAGGTGTGAGGCGCTGCCGCCCCCTCCCCGAATTTCCTTCCCAGGCATTAAATGCACTCGGGCGGCTTTGAAATTTTATTACCCATAAAATTGACGACACGCTGGGGTTTTCCTCCCCGGGCCTCGGGCCCCCCCCCCTCCCCGCCCCTTTCGCAGCTCGGGGGCCCCCAAAATAAAGGGCAGAGCCCCTCCCCCCGCGCCGGGGGTCCCACAGGCCAGGACCCCCGGCCGGATGCTCCCCGGGGAGGGGGGGGACGGACAGGGGGGGGG